ACTGACTGTCGATCGATGATAGTCCATTGACCACGATGTTCTTCGAATTCATAAAAGTCAATGACTGTTTGGTTCCCGGCCACAGACAGGAAACCGTGTCCAAAATTAATATATAATCAGCTTTTGAAAAAACTCACTCTGGAGTCTGGAAAGAAAATCAAGGGGCATTAGCGTACATGAATGATTCCAGATTTCTTCGTTTTGGGAAATCGAAATCACTCATAAACACTCAGGAACAAAGAATTTTCAGATCAAGAAACAAAGAATCAGAAAACTTCAACTTTGTGGGGCCTGTGAAAAGCACTCCCGGGAAATATGGCAATTTTGTTGACTACCATCCCTCGGGCTGTGTTTGGTTGGACTGCAAATTGTTGAAATTTAATTATTACATACGTACCCTGGCTCCGGAGGGGCAACTGTTCCCAGAAGATTTACAATTCCACAAGGCAGAACCTTGGCCATCAAGTGTACCTCCGTTGATCGAAACTCCATTAACGCCTTGAAAGGAAAGCCAGGAGTCAGAGCTAGCAAGAACACTGTAATCTGAAGGGGCCACGAGTGTCCCATCGATTTGTAGGGTAATATCATTGTTCTTGCATTCTCCACTGAAGACTGCACGACCGAGTAAGTAACTTCCCGGTGGCACATAGATAGTTGCCGGAGAAGATGAGCCACAAGCTCCTGTCCATGCGTCCAAGAAGGCATGGGTGGAGTCAGTTTTGCCATCACCTTTGGCCCCAAAATCGTCAACATTGTAGCTTGCTCCCACGGTTGTTGGGGACAAGAAAATAAAAACAAGTGAGAAAAGAAAAGCAATGAACTTCAACATTTTGATCGAGAGAGAGAGAGAAAGAGAGAGAAGCTTGGTTGAGTTGAGTGGTGACTGGTAAGTGATATTTGGATTGAAGGAAGTTAAAGCAGTTGGGAGTATTTATAGGTTTGATTGATGGGGAAATGGGATTGGAAATGGTTTGATTGCAAAGAAAAGGGTTGGCTTCCCTCACGTGATAAACGGCCCGGTATATAGCAAAGAATGTCTGACTTTCTGACTTGATCCATTCAGTAAGTTGGCAATGATAGGGAGGAGTTCGAACTTGAAGAGTTTTTAAATCCCAGAATTGATGTGAATTGATAGGGATGTATGTGGCCTTGTTTTAGGTATAGAAAATTTTTCCTGTTTTCTACTAAATTTGAGAAATTCTAGTAAACCACAACTTTATGAAACTCCTTTTCTTCCCACAACAAAGAAGGCTGTCGCCCCATGAGAAAAAGATTAATCGAATTTTGTTAATGCATACAAGAGGTTTTTTTTTTACTTAAATTGTCCTTTTTCGCCGAAAAAGAACTAGTTTTCCTGAATTAAATGATGGAAGATATTCTGAAATTAATTTTTTTTTGTTATTGTGTAGACAGGAGATCAGTAAGACCCAAAAACAACTTGATTGGATGACTCTAACCATCAAATAAATTGATTATTTCTCATAGAACACAACTTGATTGCATCTAATTGGATTGATATTTTGGATTGAAAAAAAAA